ACCTCTCGTGATCTTAGACATGATGAACTCGTGTAGCCCGTCATCAACCTGCTCAGATCCTGCACCCGAGATTGATCTTGATCCTGATCTAGACCCTGAACCTCCTGCTCCATGTCGTGTAATTGCCATACTGAGATTAACACATAAACGTCAGGGTCATACATACTCTCGTGAGCTCTCACACACTCTCCAAGTATCCTGGTTCTATCTTAGCCCTCCTTGATTCGACTATGGATCCTATGCTTCCAGTAGTACGGGCCCATACTACCTTCCACATATATCCATACTTTCCTCAAGGATTGCTTTGACTTCACCAAGTCCCTTCTACTAATACTACTTTCCAACTAATCTCATCCTAGGCTTGTCCTAGAGCACTCCCCGACCTACACTCTGCCATCAGCTGCACAAGGATTCCCTACCATCTTTCCCTAACCAACTTGCAAATACTATTATGTATTTGGTTACTAGTTAGTTAAAGCTACCTGGAACCCTTATAAGCACAAAGCAAGCAGCATTCGTGCATTGAGTACTTATTACCAAGCATAACCTAATCATGCAATCATACTACTGACTAACCAGCCCTATCATATAGCTCAATAAACTCATACAACAGGCATATAAGGCATCCTTCCTAGATCCTTAACCCTAATCTAGCATGCAGTTCTCATAATCACATAACAGGAATACAAGGCATCCTCCCTAGATCCTTAGCCCTAGTTTAGCATGCAGTTCTCATAATTATATCATAACATATCATGTATGAGTATCTTGGGGTAAACTTACTCAAGTTCGGTTGGTCACACACATTACACACCTTGTTCTTTCTTAAAACTCCTTATTTTTTAAATTTCAAAAAACTATTTTTCTTGTAAAAATCCTTCAAGCCCTCGATTTGAGGCCAGACACCCCCGAAGGTGGGCCCAAATCCCTCAACCAAAGGCTCTGATACCAACTTGTAACATCCCAAAAATTAAGACAAAATTTTTTTCATTTTTAGTTATATTACTTGTAAAACTGTTTGAGGAAAACATTCATGATATCACATCAAACCACAAAACAATAGTTACATGTCTCAAAAACCATAATGTCAAAACACAATCCCAGGGTTCTCAAATGCAGAATCATGTGTGTGCAATGCACTGCTACCGTTCCAGCTCCTTCCCTTAGATGAATAGGTACCTAAAACCAAAACTAAAAACCGTAATCACAAATCTTAGTGAGTTCCCCTATTATACCACATACCATACAATCATACATACTGTCGGGCAATTCAAGGGTGCTCGACCTACCCATATCAAGCCATTCTGGGGTGTTTACCTACCCATGTTAAGTCATTCTAGGGTGCTAAACTACCCATGTCAAGCCATTCTGGAGTGCTGATCTACCCGTGTCAGGCCATTCATGGGTGCCTCCCTACCCTCCGGTCTATCCCACTCGGTCACGGGGACAATTTCACCCCTTAATATTATCACATAATAATATATCATAATCATGTTGTCAGACATATCTGGGGTGTCCGACCTACCCTTCGGTCCTAACAACTGAATCGGTGGACTATTCCCCTCCTACTACCGCTATCACATATAACATATCATACTGTCACATAGAACACATCAAGTAATAACAAACCACACAATTATCACAAAGAAAACCATCTCAACTATAATCAACTACTAGTGGGTCGGCCTTGGTGCCATAAACCTACTTCTATTGAAAGGTAACTCGCATCAATGTCGTGTAGTGTATGCACTATCCTCGGTATGGAAATCAACTCTTCTCGAATCCTCGAACCCTACACAACATCCTTCCTAAATTACCATCTCATACTCATAACCCTTACAAGGTTCAACTCAAGTCCAATTCAAAGTCAAGGTCAAAACCTTGGTTAAAGTCAACATCTGGTAGACTAGACTCGCTGAGTTGGTTCACCAACTTGTCGAGTCCCCTCGTCCACAAAAAGCTACAACTTCGTCCCTACTCATCGAGTCTAGCAAGAGCTCGACAAGTTCGCCGTCAACAACACATCGGACCTTCATTAACCGACTCGCCGAGTCCCTCCTTGAACTAGCTGAATTCATCTTCATCCGTTGAAGGTATTTAGTATATGACTCGCTTAGTTCTCCTTGAACTCATTGAGTTCGTCTTCATGTGGTTGGGAGATTGCCTTGAACTCACTGAGTTAGTTCATACACTCGCCAAGTTCTATGATTTCCAGTTCCCTAACGAGCCTAGAAAACTGAGTGTTCTTTTATCTTAGCATGAGGTCCATCAACAGAAGGATTTGATGGGAAATTAATACGACCCGACTCCCCAAGTTCTATGAACGACTCGCTGAGTCCCTCTTTGCCCCACACTATACAATCGATTTTAATTAGTCTTAATTCATCCAAACCATAGATCTGACCTTCCATGGTCCATATTATACATAAAGTTACAAACTTTACGTTCATGCATGGGCTATTTAGCTCAAAAGGCCCTAAAACGAATTCTTCAAGATGTATGGGGCTCTCATGGCAGTAAAGTTGGTACATTTATACCATGAGAACCCTCTTAGGTTCCAAATCTGAGGTTACTTCTCTACATACTGACCCAAACCCGAAGCTAACTTAGAAATTCCCTGAAAATGACTAAGATTCAAGCCCTAAAGAGGATCTAAAAAATGGAAAGTCAAGGTTGAAGCTTTTTACCTCAAATAAGCTAGAAATAAAACACAACCTCTGGATCTACTAGCTTCAACTTGAACTCCCAAGCTCCTTCTTCCTTTTCAAGCTTCACAACCACCAAAAATGCACAAAAATGGCTCAAGAATCACTCAAACAAGGTTAAGGTTTCGATTTAGGGTTTCTCTGAGTTGGGAGGGATGATGGGGGCTGGTTTGAGGAAGAATAAGTCATAAATAAGGTGCAAACCTGACATATTAGGGTTTCATCCAAACAGCTTCTACTCGTCGAATCGGTCCCCCGACTCGTGAAGTAGATCACTATACTTCCCGGTCAAAAATCGAGTCTACTCGACGAGTTGGGCCTCCAACTCGCCGAGTCCCAGAGCAAAACATGAACTTAATTGAATTTAAATACGTACCAGGAAATGAGTGTTATAGTTGTTGAGTTGTTAGACGCCATGCATCTTTTATAGTAGTTTATATTAGCATTTTTCATCATATTTTATGTTTTTTAATGTACATTAGTATAAATAATGTTCAACTCATGTTTTTCATTAGAATTTTCGTGTTGCTCATGTTTTTATGTTGTCTTTAGATATTTCGAGTGTGGCGGGGATTTGGAAGCAACTTTGGATACGTATTTGAAGCTTAATGGAGCTAAAATACCTAAGGGGGATGTAAGTTGTGTCAAATTTGTTGAAACCGAAGAGTTCACATCCGAAACACGTGTTTTTTAGAAAACACAATCATGTTTTTCTGCATGTGATCGTGTTTCAAGACAAAAATCAAGTTTTAGGACTTCGTAGAGTTTACACAAGCATGGTTGTCCATAAAAGAGTATTGTGTTCTTTTCAAATATGCCCAAAACAACATTGTACTTCATTAAACGGAGAATTCAGGACTTTGAAAAAAAAAAACCTATCAAAACAATTATATTTTTCAAAAACATGATCCTATTTTTCACTTTTTGCATTTTTTGTTTTTGGCTCGTTTGTAAATACCTCATATCTGATTAGTTTAAACCCTAGACGTACCCAGACGATAAAAGCAACTTCTAAAGACGATTTTATGCACTTTTTCATCAATTTTGAAGATCTAAAGGTTATGGATCATCTCAATTGTTCATTTTATTAAGATTTAGTAGTTTAATGTCTCTTTTTCATTAGTTTAGATTGGATTTTAGCCATGTTTGGTTAAACCCTAGATTTCAGTTCTACATAGATTAGTACTTGTCATGTACTCAATCATTAGATATGGTTTTAGGTTTATGATTCTATCTAGATTTTTCAGTTTTGTGCTTAATAAATGTTTGATTTTGATTTTTTTTAGTCTGATCACCTAATTAGAGTTTAATCATTCTAGATAATCAGTTGTTGAAATTCGTAATTGTTTTGATAAACGGGTAATAAGTAATAAGTATCAGATTGGTTCCGTGTTTGGATTTAATTATGATATAAATTGAAATTTTATATTTTTACGCTTTCAAGTTTGTGAGAAGTATTGAATATTGTTGGGAATTTTACATAGATTGTAATCTTGCTTTTTTGAATTTATTTAGAGGTTGTTTAATTAGATCATTTAAAAAAAAGTTAGAATTAACTGGAGTGTTTGTTTTTGTTAATCAACTAGGTAAAAAAGAAGTTACTAAAGTTTGTTAGTGATTTTCAGTACCAGCTTAATTAGAATACGTTTTAAATAACCAAGTTTGTGTTCATTGAATTATTAGGAAAATCATAACAGAACTAAACTCACTTTTTATTATTTAATTTTATTTAGTTTATTCAAAACTATAATTTTTAGTTTTAATTGATAATTAAAACTCCGCTTTTTTATATTTATCTGTTTTTTACTAGTATGTATCTTACGTAAAGATGTATTGACAATTAGACTGACTGTCTCAGAGAATTCGATTATGTTTTCATGTGCTATCATTTAATGCATTCGAAGAGTGAAATGTTTTTTTTTTTGGGTAAGAGGCGCCCAACAACATTTTAACAGGAGCCTCACGTTCATGCATTGACCTCAAAATATGGTGCCGCTCTCTTAATTACTTGCCTTTGGATATAGTGCTCCAAATAAAAAACAAATTGGAAAGCACCAAAGTTCGTATAAATAACAAAGATGGTCTTACATATCCTTTTATCATAAATATACATATATAAATTATATATACATGAGGTTTCTATATTCACAAAGACCCCTCTATGTTTCGATACTTTAGATTTGTTCCCACCTTTACATTTTCTTTTGCAAGTAGCCCTACATTCTTTAGTAAAGCGAACTTTTGTTTTATGAACATATAATAGCTAGACTAATAAGATCTGTAAAACGTAGTAATTCATGTCCCTTTGTTGTCCATCAAGCTCATCTCAGCTTCATTGAGAAAATCCAACCCAAAATCTTTACAATCCATTAGCCATGTAGCACAATCATCCCATGACGTGAACTCGCTTGTATCCTTCTTTGACTTTTTCTCATTGTTTGGTAACTGCCAATCCGATATATGATCAAGTAGAGGAGGCTCATTGTCGTCTAAGAAGTAACTTACCAACTTCTCGTCATCACAAAGACTTTGAAACATTGAAGGTCTAGGCTTGTCATTTACATTTAAATTATTTTCAGTTAGTGAAACAGTCGAGTCCTCCTTTGAAATTCCTTCGAAAAACAGTGAATGGTTGTTTTCATATCTTGAAGAGTCTTCGTAAGGAGAAGATGAAGCAGACGATGTCTCACTTGTCTGAGTTTCTTTCTGAAGAGGTTCATGGGTGACCGGGTCAATTCCCTTTTTCAGAAGTTTCTTCTTGATATGAGTGTTCCAGTGATTTTTTATCTCATTATCTGTTCGGCCCGGTAAATTTGATGCGATCTTTGACCAGCTTAATAATTGGAATTTGTTATTTCCACATGCATCACGAAAGAAATTAATTTTGCTCATTAAATATAAAAAAAAAAATGCTTTATAATAATGAAAAATTCAATGTATTAGTATATCAAAATCAGTATTGTCGATATTTTTATATATCGTGATTATTATCAAAAACATATATGTGTTTCAGTATGCTTGTATGCAAATCAACTCGGATTATATATTTTTTATTGATAGTAGGTTAAACGGTAATATAAAACATTATACATGAGTTATCTTTAAAAAGAAATCCACAACTTTTGTTACTTGTTTTACTTAAAACGGAGAAAGGAATACGATTATGTGAATAGAGGTGTTATTTTGTGTGCTGCCTAATGATTTTTCTTTACGTTTTCTCAAACATAAAATGTTCACTTTCTTCTTTAATTATAGTCGCAAGGGTCTTCTTGAAGATATCGTGATGTGTATTCATTACCAAATCGAGAATGATCTCATGTGTTTGATTATGAAATTGTTTTTGAGAATTTCAAGCTAAACTTTTCAACCAGGGTGAGGTTAATTAATTTCTTGGATCTTTAACGGAAAAGAGCAAAAGACATACCGATTGCCGAGACGAGCATGGAGGTCGATAACAAGTTGCTCCTCAGATTCAGTGAGTAGACCACGCTTCAAGTCAGGCCGGAGGTAGTTGGTCCAACGGAGGCGACAGCTCTTGCCACAGCGACGGAGACCAGCCAGCGTGGGGAGGGCTCGCCAGCAACATGGACCGTTGGTGAGGATAAATTTGATAAGTTTCTTGTCTTCCTCAGCCGTCCACGGCCCTTTCTTCACTCCTAATTTGTCACAACATGGCTGTCTTCCCATTACAGACTGGTTGCACCGCCACCTCCACCAGATAAACGAACAGAAAGCAATAAAAACTATAACCCTTCAAACACACTAATTAACCATCTATAGTACAACCACCAACCTACAATTATATACACATATATTCATCGAGACATTGAGAGACTAATGTAGTACACCGGTCCCACCATTAACATATGAAAGATACGGGCCACCGGCAGCCCGGTTCCAGTGGTAAAAGTTGATGTACAAACGAATTGAGAGAGATCTGGGTACCACAGAAAACATTTGTTTGTTTTTATTATTATTATTTGAAGTCAACAACTTTTCATATTATTTTATTATATTTACATCAAAAATACTACTGACGAGGAATTTTTCACAACGTGAATCGTCTTTTATTATAATAGTACTAAGATAATCGGTTTTTATTAATGTATATATTCCCTGTTTAGATTTTTAATGTTTCTTGAATAGTTTAAAGCTAATGGTGGATATAACTCATTAAAGGCGCTTCCTTTGTAATGTTAGATGTCAATCACAAGAAGCTTTCATCATGGGACTGGATCTAAAAATGCATTCGAAGTTAATTTGTTTTTAATTTTTTTTAATTAATATAAAAATTTGTATACTACACATGAATATGATTTTTTGTCTATAAATATTATTCTAATGTTTTTAGAAGTTGTAAACAAAGAATAAACACAAATGTGACTTGACCGTCTTCATCCGTTTGAGTTTGACCGAACTAGATAATCGAACTTAAACACAAATGCAAACTAATAAGTTTTCGTGTTAACGTGTATTAGTTAAAAAAGTAAAGTTTTTTGTTTTTATTTATATTTTTACGTTAAATAGTAAAATTAACATAAATAAACGAATATCTTTATGAGCAACATCCATCTATTAAGATGTTCACTGCCAAATATTTGAAAACAAATTTGGATCACATAATTTTTTTGAATTAAAACTATAAAATAATATTCATAAAATCAATCAATTATTACAAACAATTACAAAACTCACCAACCAAAATCACTCACCATCCAACCAACATCACCCATCACCACTACTTACCACCCACCACCAACCAGCAAACCCACCACCATGCACGCCCACACATCACTACCAACCACCACCACCCCCACCCATTACCCACAAAAATCACCACCAGCCACAACCATCACCACCTACCTCCACCACCCATCACCACCACCCCTACCCAGCTCAATCACCTATCACCACCACCACCAACGACCAACCACGACCACCACCACATATCATCACCGACCAAAACCACCACCCGCCACGACTAGCACTCACCACCACCATCATCACCCACTACCATCACTACTCGCTAACACCACCCCCACCCATCACCTACCAAAACCACCATCACCATTTACCTCCTCCACCCATCACAACCACCCCACCCACCCAAATCACCCATCACCTCCGCCTGCCGCCACCACTAACCACCACCACCACCTATCACCACCCACCACCACCACTTCCACTCAACACTAGCCAAAACCACCACCTGCCACCACCATCACCACCCACCACCACCACCCATCACCACTACCAACCACTCACCACCACCTATCACTACCACCAACCACCACACTTACCACCACCCACCCACCACCATGCACTACCACTCATCACTACCGACCACCACCACTCATCATCACCATTCACCTCCACCACCCCTACCCATCACCCACAAAAACAACCACCGACCACCACTATTACCACCTACCTCCACCACCCATCACCACCTTCCCTACCCACCTAGTCATCCATCACCACCAACCACTACTACCTACCACCATCACCACCCATCACCACCATTTGTCACCACCACCTTCACCCACCACCAATCATTATCACCCACCCACTACCCCACCATTTTAAATACCACATGTTATTACCACCAACCACCACCCACCACCCATCACTACCACCTGCCTCTACCATCTATCATCACCAACCCCCAAAACCACCCTACCACCACCACATATCACCATCTACCATCACCACCTATCACCACCCCACCCATCACCCACCAAAACCAACATACACAATCACCACCCTCACCACCAACCGCCACCCCACCTACCCACCACCACCACCTATCACCTTTACTCGTCTCCACCACCCATTACCATCACTCATTACCGCCACCTGCCAACCACTATGATCATCACCCTACATGTCACCCTCAGCACCCTTCACCACCACCACCACCTACCTCTACCAAACATCCCTACAAACCACCACCACCTATGATTATGTGTATATAATCACATGTGATTATTTGTATTTAATCATATATGATTTATATGGATAATATTCTTTTTTGTCCATATAAATGATATGATTATATACATATAATCACATGTGATTAGATATATTTAATCAAATGTGATTAGATATATTTAATCAAATGTGATTAGATATATTTAATCATATATGTCATTATTGTGTTCTCGATTCAATAGCTGTTTTTTGTCAACTTTAATCATATGTGATTAGATACGTATAATCACATGTGATTATATGTATCGAATCAAATATGATTTACATGAACAATATTCATTTTTGATTTTTTGTTTCAATAAATTTTCTCATATATTTAATCACATATGATTATCAGTATTTAATCACTTATGATTAATGTAGACATAAAATTGTTTTAATGTTCTTGATTCAATAGATATTCTCGTGTATATAATTACATGTGATTATATATATTTCATCACATATGATTTATTGAATCAAGAACGTGAAATCAAATCTTTTTCACATAAATCATATGTGATTAAATACACAAGACCAACAATTGAATTAAAAACGCAAAAATGAATATTGTCCACAAAAATCATATGTAATTAAATACATATAATCACATGTGATTATATGTACCTAATTACATATGATTTATGTGGACAAGATTCATTAGTTCTTTCTCAATTCAATAGTTGTACTCAAATACTTAATCACATGTGATTATATCTATCAAATCATATATGATTTATATTGATAATATTCGTTTTCGCATTTTTTATTCAATATTTTTTCATATGCATTTAATCGTATGTGATTGTATGTATTTAATCACATATGATTAATGTGGAAAAAGAATAACTATTGAAACAAAAACGTGAAAATGAATCTTTTGTACAGAAATCATATGTGACTAAATGTACAAGAACTATTAAACAAAGAATGTGAAAATGAATATTGTCCATATAAATCATATCTTATTAAATACATATAATCGCATGTAATTAAATACACAAGAACAACAACTGAATCGAGAATGCGAAAATTAATATTTTCCATATAAATTCTATGTGATTAAATACATATAATCACATGTGATTATATGCATTCAATCACATGTGATATATGTGGGTAATATTTATCTTTGTGTTCTCGATTCAATAGTTGTTCTCGTGTACATCATCATATGTGATTATATGTATCTAATTACATTAGATTTATATAGACATCATTATTTTTTATCCATATAAATCATATGTGATTAGATACATATAATCACATGTGATTATATGTATTTAATCACATGTGATTATAGTTGACAAAGAACTAATACTGAATCGAGAATGTGACAATGAATCTTATCCTCATAAATCATATATGATTGGATACATATAATCACATATGATTATATGTATTTAATCAGATATGATTTATGTAGACAATATTTATTTTTCCATTTTCGATTGAATAATTGATTTTGTGTATTAAATCACATGTGATTACATGTATATAATCACATATGATTTGAGGTGGACAAGATTCATTTTTACATTCTCAATTTAATAGTTGTGCTTATGTACTTAATCACATACAATTATACATATAATCACATGTGATAAAATACATGAGAACTAGGACTGAGCATATGGACCGAGGAACCGGCCGGAACCGGAACCTGATGGAACCGGTCGGGCCGGGACCGGGATGATATTCTTGTGAAGTTTTGGAACCGGGAACCGTTAGGATCGGAACCGGTAGAACCAGCAAAAAATGGAACTGTATATTGCTATTTTTCGAAGACCGGTTCTAATATTTGAAGACACGGCAAGAACTGGTAGGAATCGGAATCGGTAGAACTGAAACCGGTGGAACTAGAACTGGTCGAACCGCACTACTAGAAAAATAGGCTTTAATGACGCGCAAATAATGACACGCAGTGATTTACGATACGCAAAAGCGTGCGTACAAAAAATAATGTCATCTCTTATAAAATTTGAAGGATAGAGAACACCCATTTGTGCGTGCCCTTAAATTAGTGTTAGAAAAGAAAAAAAAAAGAAATACAGAGGACGCCTATTATAAAATGCGTGTCTTGTAAGTATGTCGCTTTATATTTTTTTTAATGAAACACGCGTTCTGAGCGGGAAATGAAATCCCCAAAAATTAAAACCCCGCCTATGTGAAAAAATAACCCCCCCGGCCCCCCTCCACTTCCAATCAACAAGAAAGAAGCCAAGGTCTTCTTCTTCCTTTCTCTCTCTCTCTAACCTAAAACCCATCTTTTTCCTTGTAGCCTTTCTCGCCGTTACATCCATTGGCACCATCGCCACCACCATGCCGCTCTGTCTCCCTCCGTTTCTCAATCCGATGTTGCCGCGATACTTTATTCTTCCGGTACAACCAGATTAAGGATCTACGACTTCCCCAAAAATCCTTGTTGAATACATGCCTCTCGAATCAAATCAGGTAGAGGAGGACCTCGATGTGAAGCTATGTCACATATTATATCACGTCCCTATTCGTGTCAATAATACCTTCGGTAGTTATGTTGGTTCTGGCTCCGACGACTTCTATCAGGTTTTTGGTCTAGCATCTTTTAATACTTCATTTGAAATTGCAATCAACATTCGCCTCTTGTATTATTCCCATAATACTTCATGAATGAAATTGATAGGTTGTAACAATGGCTCCTACGGCCCTATTCAACCCTCTATCGTCGGTTCTCCTAAAAAAATAAACCCCCATCCTATCTGGAAGCAATAAACGGACAAGAACCTTTCTTCTTCCTTTTCATTGTGTGCTGTTTTTTCTAGATGTCTGGTTAATTCTGATAATTACAGCTTCAATTTTTTTCTCTCAGGTATCTTTATTTTCTCTTATTTCAATGATTACACAATGATGCAACGCTACAAAGGAACAACATTTGGGGAGCTAGATCCTCATGTTTTGCAATTGCAGATTCTGCTTTTAGGTTATCTCCTCTGCACACCTCTTTATTTTATAATGAATGTATCAGGGCAATGGTTAATGAAGGAAAAAGTAACTCGATCTTGGTTAGTGGTGAAAGTGGGGCAAACTACTAAAATGCTTCTGCATCAATCAGGTACTTTACATGTTAATAGATTTCTAGGGCTTATGTATGTTTCAGTTTCTATGCAAATTCCCCAAATTAATCTTCAGAAACTTCTAGGATTTATGATTTTTAGGTAATCTCCAGTGATTAGGTTAATTTACTCATAGTTTTTATTAAGTTTTATTTATCATCATGTCCAGGTCCCTTCTATACTGTGTTCATGTGAGTCCTATACTCGGTAAATAAATATGTAATAAAGAGTAAACAAAACGAAAAAAATTCTTTTGGTTTCTGCATATATTTCCAGTAGAGCTCAATTTATGGATTTTATTTTCACTTTCTGCATATATTTCCAGTAGAGCTCAATCTATGGTAAAAGCTATTTCATTTCAACTTTTACCCTCGTGAATGAAAATGAAAATGTTCATTGATTCTTCAATGGATTCAGCTACAAAGTTCATGTCTAAATAGATTCTTGGATCCTTAATGACAATCATAGAAACAACGCATTTCAAATGTTTTACAGAATTATTTAAAGAGTAATGATTACGACACAGCTGCTTATTTGTGTAAATGACCATTATGCCCTTATCTCTTTCGTCTTCTTAATCTCCTTCATCTTCCTCCACAAAAAACCTGAAATCAAACAAAATCCCCAAAAGTCAAACCAACAAAATAAAAACTCAAATAAAAAAGAACATACCAAAAACAAAAAACAAATGTTAGGATCTGTTATTGAACAAGAAGCAGTACTCAAATGGATAAAATTACAAAAAGAAGAAAACAAGATGAATTCTCAAATGGACAGCTAATAGACTGTAGCTGGTATCTTTGTAGTGCAATTACCACTTTGAATTGTGTAGTCTAGTTTAAGAGACTATCAATATGGAATGGATTACTATGTTACATTATATCCTAAAAGGTACTTGATGATCCACCAACCTATTATTAACTTAAGAGAAATCAGTAATGTCGTTAATATTTTCATAGTAGTTTCTTGAGAGCAATAATGTTTTGCATGTGATAAGATCTTCTCTTAGGCTATTTTTGCTCCTGTTTTATTTGCTGTTGGTGAACGCTATTACTAAGTTACTGCAGAGGCATTAAGAGTATGTGGGGAACTTGTTCGAGTTGTGCACCCAAACATTGAGGTTTTATCCCTTTCTATTTCATATATTCCAAAAATTTCTTGTATTTAATCAATTTTCAGCCCTGATATTACTTTTTTGATTTGTTTAGGTTTCTGATTTTGATTTCACCTCAGTCTGGTGGTACTAACTGCAGTAACAATGGCTTTTACAATCTCAACAATGGCTTCTTGGAAAAATGAGCCTCTAGGTTCCCTACCACAAGATCAGCCATGGCTTTTACAGTCTCAACACCAAAATGTTTTTCAGGGACATGGGGTTCATTCTCAAACACATCAAGACCTGCACCTGCTATCTGCCTTTCAACAAGGGCAGATACTAGTTCAGGTTCATCAATGTGTGGGCCCCTCTCTATATTGATGAGAAAACCATTGGGACCCAGTGCATCGATGACTTTGCAATTGATGATGTGGCGGGTTTCTACAGTTAGTGCACACGCCACAACAAGGATGTCACAGTGAGAAGCTAATTCAACTATACAGTGAGAAATCAATCTGATTTTGACTTCCTCTTGGCATCTTCAAGGGAAAATATCCTCTGGGACAGCAAATGGAACCAGGGAATACTCGATTGTGTGCCTCTGGCGTTTCTAAATGCATGTTCTGAGAGGAATCTTTAAGAGCTCGAAGTCTTGAAGTCCAATTGAAAATCTTTTTTTTTCATGTTATATTAAAAATTTTAATCATCATTTTTTATTGACAGACCTCTTGTTGGTACCCCTTGTCCTCCAATCATACCAAGAAAAACTTGCAAGTTTTTTGGTCATCTTTCTATTGATAGGATTAAAATCAATCAATGTGAGATGGTATTCCCTATCTTTCTCTCTTATCAATATATGTATATGTATGTATGTATGTGAGATTTATTGATTTTTCAGGAAGAAGCAGGAAGCTTGCTTGCCGCTTCAAGTTTTTTGGCCATTTATCTAATGATAGGATTAAAACTTGCAAGTCCTGACATAGTTTGTCTTCCCATTTCAATGTCTATATATAAATTTTAATTCCCCTTTGTTTTTGTGAATTTTTCCTCTAAATGTTGATTCTTGACCACATTATTCATATTCAGAGTGTTGCTTCCCTTTTTCCGCTTCAACATCCTTCTTCTTCTTATTTTCTTTTTCCGTTGAAGCAAAACAACCTTACGCAGCAAAGTATAGTGTATAAATTTGTAAAAAGTTGGAAAAGAACTTGTTATGGATTGGATTTCTTGCGTTTGAAAAAGACATAAATGCCCTTGATGTCTACATCATTGAACACGGTGCAATACACTGTCCATACTACATGAAGACAGGGGCTTGCAAATATGGGGTGACATGCAGGTTTGATCACCTGCCACCTGGCGAGGTTATGGCGGCTGCAACACCACAAGGACCATCCGATGCTGTCAAAGAAGATTATATAGTTGCAAAAAATGAAGATGAAGCTTTTAAAAAAGCTCAAAATAAATATGGAAAAAATGTCGAAATATATCAAGATACAGATGTTCTTGACACCTGGTATCATTAACAGTTAACTTGTACATAGTTTTTCTTCAACTAACAGAAATGGTATCATTAACAGAGTTGGAAACTTCCTGATAGATTGACACTGTTTGCTACAAAATGAAGTTTATCTGATGCCACAAATGTTTTAGCTAAATAGCTTGACACTGTTTACTCATCACTTGCAGTAAGTTATTTAAAAACTTTGCTATTTAAAGTTTAAACAAGTTTTAGTTATATTTTTTTGTTATTAATTTGGGTTGTTTATTATGTTGTTTAGGCTACCAAGAGACATTTATCTACAAGGATTGATCGTGTTGATAGTAGTTTAGATGAGGTTGCAGAAATTACTGCTGCTAAAAAAGAGAAGGTACGATAAGATAAAGGTTGTTCTAGATGTTCAACCTATACATAATGTGGTTTACACCCTAGTGTGGTTCTTTTCTATTTTTTCTTGTGACTTTGATATTGTTTTCTGAGTTGGATGTTTGGTCTGATAAATTATTTTTACAGGAGAGTAGGCTGAGTAGGGTTGAATTAAAATAGGTATTGAATATTATCTTTTGACATGTGATTTTTTCTAGCTTAATGAGACATTTATAACAAATAATTTTGAATTTTTGTTGTCTTTTGTAGGGAAATCCATCAAGTTCATCATGCGGTTTACACCCTAGTGTGGTTCTTTTCCATTTTTGTTGTCTTTTGAATTTCGTTTGTAAATTTTTGTTACAACTTCTATTGATTTGTTTTATCTTTCCATGGAATGATTATTTGTATGACATTAAATTTATGCAATGGATTCTATTTTTTATATATGATATTTTATTTTCTATTATGAAACATTAAATACAAATTTAATTTGAAAATAAGTAAATCTATAAATAATTTTTTTTAAACATTTAAAATTATGATACGCAAAAATGTATGTCATCTTCATTTATGACATGGCCTTTCTTGATATGGGCTTTCTTGATACGGATTGCGTGTCATTAACAAGCGCGTCGTAAGGTTACGACACACAAATGCGTGTCGTCTTCCTTTATGACAGGGTCTTCCTTGATACGCATTGCGCGTCGTAAACGTGCGTCGTAATTGCGCGTCGTAAATGAGCGTCGTAAAAGCGCGTCGTCTATAGACGACGCGCAAAAGCGCGTCATCTTTCTTTATGATAGGGCCTTCCTTGACGCGCATTTGTGCATCATCTGAGCCTTTTACGACGCGCAATGAGCGTCGTAAAAGGCTGTTTTTCTTGTAGTGCCGGCGGTCCGGTTCGGTTCATATTTTCCACTAAGTTCAGTTCCCGGACCGGTTCCAACCGGGTCGGTTCCTTTGCTCATCCCTAATGAGAATAAATATTGAATCGAAAAAGAAAAAATGAATTATATCCACATAAATCATATGTGATTAGATTCATATAATCACACATGATTAGATTTATTTAATCACAATGATTAGTATGGAAAAAGAAAATTTATTGAATCGAAAACACAAAAATAAATCTTGTGTACATAAATCATATGTGACTAAATGTAAAAAACAACTATTTAAATTTATTCTGAAAACGAATATTGTCCATATAAGTCATATATGGTTAGATACATATAATCTCATGTAATTAAATACACAAGAACAACAACGGAATCGAGAATGTGAAAATGAACAGTTTTGCATATAAATTCTATGTCATTAGATACATATAATCACATGTGATTATATGTATTTAATCACATATGATATATGTGGACAATATTTATCTTTGTGTTCTCGATTCAATAGTTATTCTCGTTTATATAATCATATTTGATTATATGTATCTAATTACATATGATTTATATTGACAACATTCTTTTTTGTCCATATAAATCAGCTATGATTAGATACATATAATCACATGTGATTAGATGTGTTTAATCAGATATGATTAAAGTTGATAAAGAACAATTACTAAATCGAGAATGTGATAATGAATCTTATCCACATAAATCATATGTGATTAGATACATATAATCACATGTGATTATATGTATTTAATTTTATATCATTTATATAAACAATATTTATTTTTGGGGTTTCGATTAAATAATTGTTTTTTTTTGTATTTGATCACATGTAATTATATTTATATATAATCACATTTGATTTAAGGTGGACAAGATTTATTTTTGCATTCTCGATTCAATAGTTGTGTTCTTGTACTTAATCACATGCGATTATACATATAATTGTTGGGTTTTAGCCATAAGAACTTTCCTATGTGCGCATGCAAAACCCTATTGCTTGGATCTAGGCTTTCTAATAAACATGCTTTTGAATCCAAGACTTCTAATGGCTAATTAGGTTAAACAACAACATTAAAACAGATCTAGAATCATACATTTGAGCTCCTTGTTGATCTTCTTGTCTTGGAGCTTCTAGAGTCACAATTGTCACTCCTCTAATGGCTTACAAACACCAATAGCAAGCAAGATGATTTAGGAGAGAGGAGAGGGGATGGAATTCGACCAGAGGTTCCTTGCTTTAGGTTCTGAAAGGTTGTACACGAATTCCACATCCCAAGGGCCTATTTATACCTTTAGACTCCTTAAGGGTTTCACCCTAAACCCTAATTGGATAATCTTCTCTTAAGGCTATCCAAATCCATTCCAACAGTCTCCCACTTGGATAAGTCTAGTAACTATACAAGTATAATACGGTTTGCAATCGTAGCTCTCAAAGACGTTGTCAACTCTGATCTAATCAATCTTGTCCTTTAGATAAGGGATCGTACAGTCCTCTGTTAGATATCATGCTGACAATCCTATGGAATGGTTAGTCTAGCATTTAGATTTCTCGATCTTCGATTTATTTGACATAGAACTTAATCGAACACATCAATTCAGTTCTGACCGGGCCCGGCACATAAGTCAAATCAAATCATCGAGTGGCCAAGATATCTCTTCTACCCTCTTAGGATAAAATTTACAGATAAACTTCGACTTATATGCATTTACTTATTCATTAACCAACTATACACAACAATGCGTTTTATAACATCAAGTTACTGATGCGTTTTCGCATTATCAATGCATAATCAATTAACAAATAATAAACCATATATCTAGGTTTTAAGACCATATGATATTATCGTCTTGCGATCACCTTTTATATCGTATTCCATAAGGTGATTCCAGCAAGCGCGGGTTTATTCCAATGCTCAAAACCAGTTCATAAGCACTCATGAACGTTGCAGCAACTCTTGCTATGTCTAACACCATTTAGACACTCTACACACCAATTCACGACAATCTTCATTCATATCTACTCCCAACATATGAACGATTGTGGACCATTTGAATAATTCGATTATTCCTAATAAACTCAATTATTCTGGAAGTCAAAACATGCAAAGTGAAACAATAGTTAAACAACTAACATGTGATAGTAACTTTACTCATAAATAAAACTTCTTTATTTAATCATCAAATGTTAATTACATTTATCTATTATACGTTTCTAATACTATCTAATCTATGCTAATATCATCCTTCAGCCCAATACTCCTAGCATGCTGTAAGTGCTTAACCCTACTCAGTCCCTTCGTAAGCGGATCTGCTGGGTTATCTTCTGATGATATCCTCTTCACTACGAGTTGTCCTTCTTCTACACGATGTCTAATGAAGTGATATTTTCTGTCGATATGTCGAGATCTACCATGATCCCTCGGTTCCTTGGTCAAGGCAACGCACCTTCGTTATCACAGAAAATCTCCATGGGCTCCTTTATGGCCGGTACAACTCCAAGATCACCGATGAAGTTCTTCAGCCATATTGCCTCCTTCGACGCTTCGCTTGCTGCGATGTACTCTGATTCGCACGTTGAATCAGCTACGGTTTCCTGCTTGGAACTTTTCCATGTCACTGCTCCTCCATTTAGGGTAAAGACCCAGCCCGACTGCGAACGGTAGTTGTCCCTGTCGGTTTGAAAGCTGGCGTCACTATACCCTCGCACCTTCAAGTCATCACTCCCTCCAAGGACTAAGAACCATTCTTTCGTCCTCCGAAGGTACTTAAGGATGTTCTTCACCGCAATCCAATGTGCTTTGCCAGGGTTCCCTTGATATCTGCTAACCATGCTCAAAGCGAAGGCTACATCAGGGCGAGTACAAGTCATAGCGTACATGATTGAGCCAACTGCGGAAGCGTATGGTACTTGGCTCATTTCTGCTATCTCGGCTTCGGTACTCGGACTTTGAGTCTTACTCAACTTGGCATTTCCTTGTATCGGTAGTTCTCCCTTCTTTGAGTTTT